CATTCTCTTCAGCGATGCGACGAACCTCTCCAACAACGGCAGGAAAACTGCCCATCCCGCGCTGCTGGCTCTCTCCAACACGCCCGAGTGGGCTCGGTGGGGCGAGGACGGCACCGAGATGCTCGGTAACTTCCCAACCATCCCCGCCGACTTGTCGCCTGAGGAGAAGTGCAAGGCATTCCAGGCCGGCCTTGCTGTCCTGGCAAGCCCCATAATCGAAAAGTCCAAGCTTAGTGGGTGAGCCATCACTGCGTTGCGGTTCTTCCCGCGGTTGCCACTACACCCCACCCTTACCCTCTCCTGTGCCGGTATCACGACGCATCCGCATCCAGGCGCCATCGATCCTCACTCTCTCAGCCCACCACCCCCCTCCCTCTTCCTCACCTTCCCCCCCACCCCCCATCCTACTGGAACTTCCCTCAGTGGCGGGCTGCTGTTAGAGGATCACGCGGGAAACCACGCGATGGGGTTTCCGGTGCTGTACGCCTACGTCACTGACCACCCCGAGTCCTCCAAGGTCTCGTGCACCATGCAGTGCCAGTCGTTCCGTCCATGCTCCATGTGTCTAGTGGAGCAGAACAACCTGAAGCAAATCTTCTCGACAACTCTGAATCGTACCGTCAAGGGCCAGAAGGCGGTGTACAGGCTTCTCAAACGCTCAGAGCGGGTGGAGACGCCAAGCGCCCTGGCTGCCCTCAAGTCGAAGTACTCGACGCACGCCGTGCCAGTAAGTGGGAGGGTTCTGGTTCTGCCTCTTTCGTGGGAGATGGGGGGTGTTGGTGATCGGAACGTTATGGAACTCGTAACGCATTTGAAACGTTCGCAAAGTGTTTGCGGAAAGGTTTTTCATACATTTCGCGAAGCGTTTGCGGAATTGTTTTTTGAACACTTAGCGAAGCGTTCTAAGATTGTCACATCTAACGTCAACATCTTGTCCTGCATCCACGCCGCATATTTCCCCCAGCCCGATCGACGGGTCACTGTCTCTTGTCAATTCGCGGCCGCGTATTGCCCTTAGCCCGCTGGACGGGTTAGTGTCTTTTAATCATTGCATCTGGATCAACGTTGCTCGTTCTACGGCATTCCATTTGAACATTGTTCCATTATCGGTGTCGATTCCCTTGCGCGCGCGGTACAGCGTACCGCCGAGGTGCACCGCATGTTGATTTGCCAGTCGCACACTGTAACGGCAAACGCCCCCCATCACGGCCACTCGCGTACTCGCCGATTAGTGAGCCCGCGCTGCCCATGCAAGTCCCCGTACCCTTGCCGTCCCTTCTCGACAACTCACTCTCCAGCGCAAGGCACTAGCGGTACGTCGCATCCGTGCTTTTGCCAATAGTTGTGCGCTGAACCATGGCAGACGATGGCAGGCGTGGACCATCCCGCGAGCTTCCCTACCTACCTGACGATGTGTGGCTTAAAATCTTCGAAATTCTTCGGACTGGTCTTTGGGAGAACGGCCGGGATTGGCCAGACATCAAGCCCGACCTCAAACCATTCGTGCGTCAGCAGGCCGTGTGTCGCCGGTGGTACTATCTATCCCACCCAGCGCATCCCCTGGATTTCCCCTGGCCCAACTGCTACATGTTGTTCCGTCCACCGTTCACCGAGAGGGACTTGCGTGTGCCATGGCCGGCACTGGGGCAGCCGCCGGTAGAGTACCTCCGTGATTGGCCTTCTCGGGTCCGCCTCCCTGTTTGCCCGGTGATGGTGCAGGGGGGATCCAGTGAAAGATCCTCTGTTTGGCGAGAATCCAATGGTTGCTCTGCACGATGTCCTGTGCGAACGAAGCCATAGCGTCTGCATGTTGTACCTCTCGTGTTTACTGGAATATTTCAGAGAAGTTACAACTTGCTGGCTAACGTGTTTCTTCGATTTGCGATGCACCACAAGGCCCCACCCCCGCCCCCCTTTCCCTCTCCCCCCGTTAACCGCCGATGTCCGCCCCCCCGCTGTGGCCACGACTCCCTTTGACACATCCCCACCCTCGTTGCCTCTGCCCTACTCCGTGTCCCTCCTCTCTCATCTACCGCACACACGGCCCTTCTCGCGTGCTCGCTCTCCCACCTTTCCCCCCCCTGTCCTTGCTCTCAGCCGCCACGTATCTTTTCCCAGACCCAAAGCCGTGTCCATCGGACTCTGCTGTCCCGTTTGTTCATGCACCCCCCCTTAACCCAGGACCGTCCTCTCATGTCCCGCCCTTCTCCCCCCCCCCCTCTCCCTTTCCCCACGGGCTATGCCAACGCGTCCCCACCCCTCCACCCACCCCAAACTAACCCTAATCCCGACCCGCCACGTGTGCCCGCCTCATGGGTAATCCCCAGTGCGCGTTGTGGGAGTGGGAGTTCTCCACGACGCTGTGGGGGAACATCTACCTAGCACTCCCTCCATGCATCATGCACATGATAGAGCAAGGGTGGTGGCTGCATGCCATGAAGTGCCTGGTCGCTAAGCTCACTCCATCGGAGCGCGGCATCCTGCTCAAGTGAGCTGCTGCTTCACCCGCTGTGTGTTGCCTTTTATTTTCTCCAACTCATACTGGTCCTTGTAGTCCGTGACGTCCTTCCACATGTCCCCTGCCTCCCTTGTCTTTCGCCCTCCCCCCAAACTTTCCTTGTGCTCCCCACCCCCCCCCCCAGCCGATACTCCGCTATCAAGGCAGTGACGCCGTCCTTCCTTCTGCGACTGCCCGGCGGGTGGATGTACTTTTCCACGACCGCCGGGTTCGCGGCGTCTGAGCACCGTGCAGTGATGCAAGTGCTCCCCCTCATCCTCATCCTCGACAAGCGGGAGCCACAGCGGGAGGCGGTCGTGCGCATGGTGACATGGTACAAGGAGCACATCCGTGCGGAGTACCACACCGACGAGTCGCTAGTGAAGCTGACGAGCGACGGCAAGGAGTACGTTCACCTTGCTTACCTGCACCCACTCCCCACTCCCTCGAAGCTTGGTCCCCCCTTACATCCGCGGAAGCCCCCCCTGCCGTGCCTTTGTTGTGCACCTTTATGAGTATCACACCTCCTCCAAACCCGCCCACCCACCCCCAACTTCCCCCACCCCCAATCCCCCATGACCCATTATCTGCCCGTCTGCACCGCATAGCATGGTCGACTCCCTAGGCACGGCATTCGAAAACCAGAAGTCGGGGTGGGGGATTGTCAAGATCCATGACATCTGCCACCTCTCCGAGACGATCAAGGCACGTGGGCTCCCCAACGAGTACTCCAGCAACTCCTACGAGCACGCCCACAAGACCACTGTCAAGCGGCCCTCCCGGGGCTCGAACTGGAAGAATGTCGACCAGAGGATTGTGAAGAAGCACATTCAGCATGCGGTCGTGCGGCAACTGACGAGAGAGGTGGGAGGCGACGCCACCTATGAGACGGCAATGAAGCAGGTATGCCCCCTTCTCCCGTACCCCCATTTTCCCCCCTTCCCTTCCCTTCCCTCCCTCCCCCCCTCCCTTCCGCCCCCACTCCTCCACCCCACCTTTGGGGCTGTCGACCTTGTATTCAGTAGGTGTTCCCCTCTCACATCTGCCTCTCGCCGTCCTTGATTTCACCCTCCCCCAACCCCATCCGCCCTCCACCCCCTTGTGTTTCACCCACCCCCCACTGCTGTTACCCCTCCCTGGCATCACCCTTCCCCACTCCCTGACAGCACACTCCCTCATCCCCATACTTTTATCCCCGATCTTGGAAATCAGCCCTCCACTCTCCCACCAGCCATCCTTCTTCTATACATTCACCCTACACATCTCTTGTCTGCCTTATCACCTCATAGGATTCCCCCTTCCCCACTCCCATCCTCCCCTTCCCCTTCAGGTTGTCCCTTAACCCACCCCGACCCTCCCAAACGCACTAACCACCCCGTGTACCCGACACCGTCCCCCACAGGCGGCCCTCCTTGGCAAGAGGGTCATGACGAAGACTTGCAGGCGCATGGTGGTGGGGGACCAGCTGGACACCGTTTTCTTGTCCTACATACGTACTGCTGGCGTGGAGGCGATGCGAGAAATGGCAAACAAGATGGACCTCGCCAAAATCACGACGCGCACTGTCTGGGTAAGTGCTTAACCATCCCAACTCCCCATCTGCCTCCTCAACGCTCCTATGAACTTGCAAGCCACACTTGTGGGAGGTGCTGGTGTTCATGATTCCATGAAGTGTGCCCTCTTAACCCGTCTAGTTAAGAACTATGCCGGTCTCGACCCTGACCGAAACCCTTTCGCGTATTGCTTTATCTCATCCCCACCCCACCCCTCCCTCCCAACACCCGCATCGCATGTGCATTACCCTCATTTCCGCTGAAACCCTTCACCGCATGTCCCCCCAACCTCCACTCCCTAATCCCGCCTTGCTGTTCCGCCCGTCCATGCCACTCTTACCCGAGTGCATGCAGGTGCACACGGCCATGGCCATCCCCCCCCACGACCGCATGGAGTGGACGGCCAAGGGACAGTTTGTGAAGGCGACCCCGCATGAGTGGCTCTTCTCTGACGTCTCTATCAAGCCCGCAGATGGAGTCGGCCCACCGTGGTACGGCCGGGCCCTCGTGCTGTTCCACTACCTTGACGATGCAGGTGTGGAGGGTCGTGCCGCCTACATTCAGTACTACACCGAGCACCCGCGGCCATGCCCGGACACCGGGTGCAAGCGCCTGAGCCCAACGACGGGCATCGACAACTACGCTGTCATTGACATGGATTGCATCCTAAGCCTTGCCCATGTAGTCCCAAGCTGCACAGAGCCTGAGTACCGGCTTGTTAACCGTTTTCTCTTCTGACTCGACATGCACGTGTCCCCTGCCACCCTTTATAAATTACATTCATTACGACTACCATAAGTATGTGCTAACAATCGCACTTCCAACGATTTTGCACGAGCATGCTAGACTCCGTGCCATCAATTGCTGCTGCACTGTGAAAGACAGACAATGCAGTGCAAAAACCATTTCACCATTTCTATACAATAACCATGGTGAAAATTAACACTTTAATGAGCCTTTAAGTTACGCAAATACAACAATGCAGTATTTTGTAACCTTTCCACAACAATGCATCCGCAAAACATCTCAACCGCGCAACACTCGCAAACCGTTCACATGAATCGAAACGATTAACAAATACTTGGCGAACACTTTGCGGATGATCTCCAACTTTGTGCATCGCCCAAAATGGCGTAAACGTTTTGCGAACGTGACACTTTTTGCGATGAGGCAAGTAGTAGGAGTGGAGGGGAACATCTCAGCAGAGCATCTGCGTGGGTGGGGTGACCGGCTGCAGATGATACGAACTCAGAAGCACGGGGTCTGCCCAAAACACGGGGTCTGTCCCAAACACGGGGTCTGCCCCTCAAGTTGTACTAGTCAATCTTGTCTTCCTGCTTCCCGATTCTTCCCACTCCACCACTCTGAACTCCTCACCCCACCAGGCCTTGCAGATAGGCAGTTCAGAGGGTTGAAGAGGACGTCGTACAGGGCTTGGAGCTCGCGGAGATTGCTGACAGAGTTGGGAATGGGCCCCGGGAAATCAGACTTCCAGATCCATCTGCATTCAAAGATGGCACCACGTGGCTTACCATCAGGCATTACTACTATGAGATCCAGAGTTCGGTAAGGCATCAGAGGAAGAATGTGACATTACCGTCCCCATGCACCATAGTGCCACGCGCACCACACTGGTAGTGGCAATATCCCCAGCGGTTTGCTAGAAACACACTGTGGGGGTATCCCCCCCCTGCTGCCGTATGGGTGCACTGCAGGCACCATGACTGCAGATCATGCAAAGAACTCACATCGCCACAATCATCCCGTTGCTGTCACAAGTCATGCGGTCAGCAGTGCTGCAGTCGGGATTTGAGCCACTCCACCCACTTAAGGTATTCCCCCATGCTGTCTGGCAGTCCTCCAGGAAAACAACTGGGCGTTGATGGAGGGAAGGAGCGGACGGAGGGAAGGGGAGGGGGAAGGGGGGAGGAGTGGGGGAAAGGGCGGGGACGGGAAGGAGGGGCTGGGGGGCTTGAGGGGTGGAGCTTGAGCATCTACCCGACCCGACCCGACCCGACCCGACTTGGCTGACCCGTGGTCGGGTTCGGGTCGGGTCGGGTCGGGACGGGTCAAGGTCGGGTCGACCCTAGGATTCTTCCAACCCGACCCGACAAAAACAGGTCGGGTCATACCTGACCCGCGGTCGGATCGGGTCGACCCGACCCGACCACGGGTACGGCGACCCGTCCTTTTTGAAAGGGCATCCAGAGCAGCCTAAGTTATCATGACTTATGCAGCGACTACAAGCTTCTTTCCTCCTAATTTCAAGATCCGCTACATATTCCTCGTGTTTGGGGGTGTTGGCGAAAATCGTTGGCTGGGGGGTGCGTACAAGATTTTAGTTGGTTTGGGGTGTTGACGAAAAATCGAGTGGTTTAGAGGCGTTGGCGAAATTCGAGTGGGTTGGGGGTGTTGGCGAAAATTCGTGTGGGATGAGGGTGCTGGCGAAAATTCGTGTGGGATGAGGGTGCTGGCGAACATTCGTGTGGATGAAGGTGCTGGCGAAAATTCGTGTGGGATGTGGGTGCTGGCGAAAATTCGTGTGGGATGAGGGTGCTGCGAAAGGTCGTGTGGGATGAGGGTGCTGGCGAAAATTCGCTTGGGTTGGAGGTGTTCGCGATTTTCAAAGTTGAGTAGGGTGTGTGCTGAGTCGATTCGATTCCATCCAAAAGAAGATCTAGATCAGCCTAAACCCCTTGGGCAATCTCTTACCCTAAGGGAGGAAATTCTAGCTGAAGTAGCCGTCTGTTTTTGCAAGTAGGTAGGATGACTTTGGCTAGGGCGAAGCTTAGCAAGGAAGTTTAGGGTTGAAATTTCGACCAAATGGTCAAAATTTCATATCTGCCCGATTTTGGTCGCGCAGATCCCGTCGGGTCGACGCGCGACCCGACTTCGGATCGGGTTGACCCGAAACCCGACATGTCGGGTACGGGTCAACCCGACCCGTCTAGAAAAGACCTAACCCGTCGGGTCGGGTTTTCCCGTCGGGAATACCGACCCGACCCGTCAATAAGTCGGGTTCGGGTCGGGTTACCCGACCCGACTCGACCCTTGCTCAAGCCTGAGTGGGGAGGGGAGGGGAAAACGGGGAGTAGACGGTGGCGTTTGTTTGGGAGCGTGGGGCGAGGAGCGCACCGTATGCGTAGCAATGTCACATTGGGCCGTAGAAATTGTTTGATCAAGCGCAACGTACTCGTCCAGTGAAATGGAGCGCCTTGGCGGCCTTGAACGGCACTGCGGGCGTACGGCCTCGGACGTAGGTCAACGTTTTACGATTGCAACGGATCGCCTTCTGTTGGAGGAAGGCGTGCCCAATGGCTGACGGCGGGGCGGACTTGACCTACGCTGCTAGCACGGCTAAGAGGCATTGTGGAGAACGACGTCACAAAAATGTGGATCTCACCTATATTGTAGGTATAGTTGTTCGTATAGCAAGGCTACTCCGTAGCAGTCGTACTTATGCCGTACCTAGTGTATAGCTACTCCGTATTTCTGGTCCTGGTATTTTGGGACGGAGTAACTGGATCCCGAAGTTGGCTTGGGTTGGGTTGCGGTCAACCCAAGCTTGACACTTGACAGCATCGGATCCAAACGAACTGAAGTTGGACCATTAGCAAAAGGTTGTAACTTCCTCCAACATTCGAAAATTCGTCTAACACCGAATTTCAACATGTGACTTCATATGACTCGGTAATTTCAGCCGGTTTTCAATAGCCGGACTACGGACCCAGAAAATGTGCGAAGTCTGAATTGAGTCCCGAATCGCTGCCCTATGTTTGTGCTTAAATACCAGAGAGGAATCCAGAGAAGTCATCAAGTTCGGTATCCTTGTACCCTATGTTACTCTCTGAATACTTGCTCAAACTTTAAGATTCAACTTGCTCTGGAATCGCCCCTCCAATCCCGAGCTACTACTGACTCTTGTTGATGGCGTCACTTGTCAGAGGCTGAATCTTTCACTCTCACCTTGCGAGGCCTCGAACGGCACGCCGGCATGGACCATGGGCGTGGCGGCAAGGGCGGCGAGGAACCATGCGAGGGCTAGCGCGCGCTTCACCCGCTCACGCGCCTTCCGGCGGCTCACCGCCGCCGCTGGGGCCCGACCTGACGCCGGGTAGGCGACGCGGGAGCGCCGCATCATGCTGCCGGAGTCGCTAGCGGAATTGACGGTCGACGTCTCCTGAGGGGCGTTTCTGGAGCGTCGAGTTGTCGGCCCGCGTCGACTGACGACGAATGCCCCTGGGCAGAAAAAAACTGAATTCCGAAGTGCCGCCCACAGATGTGTGGGAGGGGTAAACCCTGAACTTTGCGGGCGGGTGTTTTCTGCGCGCGGCCAGCTGTCGGCTCGTTAGCTCTTCCCGACGGTCCGACTAATCGCCTCAAATGTACTACATACGTTACGTTCCGATCTATTTTTTCCAATTGGTCAATGACGATGTGACTGTCAACGCTGTCCAAAGAAAGTACGTCTGATGTACTAGGACAGTGTAAATAAACGTCCCACCCATCACTGAGCGAGAGTGCGCAGTGCGCACCATTTCATCTCCTGCCTGAGGGTGGATGGGGGCGTGTCCGAAGCGTCCGTCCGAATGCGGTTGAGTGAGTTGAATTGAGTTTTGGAAGGATCAAATCACTTTCTAAAAACTTTTCGGTAGGGTGCAAATGATGTCCGCAATATGCCCAGCCCGATTCTGTCCCAAAGTGCACCCCCCAGATCAATACTTCCATCCACATTCATCAAGCGCGACTCGTGAACAAGGTGTTCTAAAGTCGGGCACCGTTTGTATTTGCCAAATAACGAATGCTTGGGACACGCCCTGAGGTCTCCTCCTCTAGGAGGATGCTGTTCACTGTGAGACGGCCTCGCCTTCCTGATCATTCATCTCCACTGATTATGTACATACCCAACCGAGTGGACGAGCTGCGTTGGGCCCGCGCATTGGTCCTCGCAACGGCCCGGGGGAGCCCCTCGCGCCCAGCTGGCTGCGTTGGTGCACGGGCGGGCAACTCCCCTCGCCCTCTCGCCCCCCGAACCCACGTCCCCGACGAACGTGGGCGCGCTAAGGGGGGGGGGGGGGGGGCGGGCGGGGGGCAACGGGGGTTTTTTAACTGCATTCCCTGGCGCGACGCTCGCGAACCTCCGCGACGAAACGGGCCGGCCCAGGCCCGGCGAAACCCGTCGCACCCAATCCCCTGCCGCGCAAATAGGGTAAGTATCCGCTGGATGGGTACTATCAAAACATTTCGCATCTGAGTCTAGATTAGGGCTACCTCATGGGACTGTCCGCTGTTTTTATTCTAGTCATGTGAAGTATTGTTTCGTTTCATGTCTCCTGGCAAACTTTTGCGACACACGTCTCTTTGATAGCAGAGGGTGGTTGAGCATCATGATGGGCAAGAACAAAATAAACCCCATGGGGGCCTGCTTGCCATTCGAATATGGGTAAACCCTAAACTCGCGGCCCTTTAGCGAGTTTAGGGTTGATGTAGGCCCATATGGGTAATACTGTTTTTCGTCTCTGCCCGATAACAGCGCTCCAAATTCGGGTATTGGACACGCGTCGCAATTTTTTGCCATGAGACATGAAACATAACAATACTTCACATGAAGAGAATGAGATACAGCAAAAAATCATATGAGGTAGCTCTAATACAGACTCCAATGCAAAATGTTATGGTAGTACCCATCCAGCGAATACTTACCCCGCCAAATATGTTCCAACTGTACTTCTGGTGTTCTGGTCAGAAAGATTTTGGCTCAAACATAATTTCGCTAGCAGGGTGACAAGTGGCGTCCATGTTAGAGAATATCCGCCACACCTCGTCACAGTTTCTGCCGAGGCTCAAACCAGCCTGGTTCTCGCACGCGTCACATCAGAGTTGATGCACGTTCCTCTGGTTAAGGTTAATGTTATGATTTAGAAGATGTCAAATGTACTATAATCAGAATACAACGTCCCTATTGCCCTGAAAGCACAAGGTTATATAGGAGTGGCCGTAGTAGGACGATAACCTCGGGACGTGAAGCAGGTTCGGCAACATGGCGACGCTGTCGGACGCGACTCGAGAAAGGGTTGGGCCGAAAATGTAGGCCGAGCGTGACGAGTCGAACTGTTCGGGCGTACGCGGTAGCGGGCGACTCAGTAAGGAATGGAAATTCCTTACACTACCCCCCCCCTCCTAAACGAGGCCGTGAGCATCGGAGACATTCCGACGATGGTAATATGCTGTTAGAATCGGGTGTGATTCTAAATCAGCGAGAGGCACCCAGCTGTCGTCGTCAGATGTGCGATCGCGCCAGCGGACAAGGAAATCAACCATCCGACGGTTGAGCTGCGTGGTGACGCGATGGCCGAGAACTTTCAAGGGCTCGGTTGTCGGTTCCTGCAGAGGTGTCAGATGCGGTACGCTACGGTGGCGTGCCAAGTCCGACGAACTCGGGACGTAGGGTCGTAGAAGACTGACGTGGAAAGCCGGGTGATGGCGCCAATCAGCCGGGAGCCGAAGGTGTACAGTGACAGGTGTCACGAGGTTGGTCACTTGAAAAGGTCCGCAGAATCTCGGTCGGAGCTTGTTCGGGATCGGCAGTCGCAAATTGCGAGTGTCGAGAAGGACCATGTCGCTCACGTGGTAAGTGGCGTCGCGTCGATGTCGATCGGCTTGTCGGCTTGCGACGAGGTTGGCTTTCCGAATGGCCTCAGCGGCTTTTTCGCGAATGGCGAGAATGTCTTCGACAAATTTCTGAGACCGGGGCACGGGTGACTCGATATTCGGTGTCGAGGGTACTACCGGGTCCTGTCCGTAGTTGAGGAAGAATGGAGATTGATTTGTCGTGGCTGATGTCGCGTTATTATACGCGAATTCCAGTAGCGGAAGGGATTTTTCCCATGTCGATGGATCAGTGCAGGTGGTGCGGATAAGCTGCTCCATGGTTTGGTTAACGCGTTCGGTCTGCCCGTCGGTTTGTGGGTGGTAGGCGGAGGAAAATTGGAGCTTGGTGCCGAATTGGTCCCACAGGTGGCGCCAAAAATTCGACGTGAATTTTGGGTCGCGGTCTGAAATGATGGCGGAGGGCAGTCCGTGTAGTCGGATGACGTTCGCGATGAACAGCTGCGCAGTTTGTTCGGCGGTGATCGTCTGTTGGCAGGCGATGAAGTGGGCCATTTTTGTGAGGCGGTCGACGACCACGAGGATGGCGTCGTTTCCGCTGGGGGCGGCCGGCAGTCCTGTCACGTAGTCCATCGTGACGTGTTGCCAGGGTCGCTCGGGCGGATCCAGCGGCTGCAGTAGTCCAGCTGCTCGCTGATGCGACGACTTCATGATTTGGCAGGCCGTGCAGGAGGACACGTAGTTGCGCACGTCCTCGGTCATGTTCGGCCAATAGTAATTCCGCTGCAACATCTTCGTTGTTTTGTCGACGCCGAAGTGTCCTGAGGTCGGGTTGTCGTGGGATTCCTGAATTAAGAGGGTACGAAGTAAATCGTAGCCCGGCACCCAGATGCGAGTGGTGCTGCGCTTATAAAAATATGGCCCGGTGGCTGTGGCATGCTGTTGATGGATGGCTGAGCGGAAGAAGGGATCGATTTTATAGCCGTGGGTGAATAGTCCCGTAAGTAATGGGTTGGTCTGGGCGATTAGGATCGCGGCGGTATGGACAGTAGGGCGGGTCAGGGCGTCGGCGATATTATTGGCCCCTCGTTTGTAGGTGATGGTGTAATGGAAATTTGACTCGAGGAAATCGAGCCATCGGATCTGTCGCGGGTTGAGGTTCGGTTGGGCGCGCAAGTACCGTAAGGATTTGTGGTCCGTCCGCACCGTGACGTCAGCTCCGGTCAGGTAGCATCGCCAGGTCTTGAACGCGTGGACGATCGCCAACATCTCCTTGTCGTGAACTGTATAGTTTTTTTCAGCGCCCTGCAGCTTCCGTGATTCGTAGGCGACTGGTTGTAACCCGTCGCCGAAGTCCTGGAGGAGAACTGCACCGATGGCGATGTCGCTGGCGTCGGTGACGACTTCGTATGGACGGTTGGGATCGGAGATGCGAAGGACGGGCGGCGACGTGAGGGCGAGCTTGAGTTTATCGAATGCAGCTTGCTGCTTCTCACCCCACCAAAAACAGTCGTGATCCTTCAGTCGGTCGGTTAGTGGTGCAGATAACCCTGCCATATTGGGGATAAAACGGCGAACGTAATTGACGAAACCCAGAAAACTTTGGAGTTCCTTGAGGTTGGTCGGCGGCTTCCATTCCTGGATGGTCTTGATTTTGCGGGGGTCGATTTTCACGCCTTCGGTGGAGACAATGTGTCCCAAAAACTCCAACTCCTGCTTAAGAAAGTCGCACTTAGATCCCTTCGTAATGAGGCGATTCTTGTGCAGCAGCGTGAAGACTGCATCAAGATCCTTTAAATGCTGCTCCCTGCTGCGGCTGTAGATTAGGATGTCGTCGAGGTAGATAATTACGCATTTATCCAGGAGTTCTCGAAAAACACCGTTCATGGTCATCTGGAAGGTCGAGGGCGCGTTCGTGAGTCCGAAGGGCATCACCAGGTATTCGTAGCTGCCGTATCGGGTTCGGAAGGCGGTCTTGTGGCAATCCTCGGCGGCGACACGAATCTGGTGGTAACCTCCTCGCAGATCGATTTTCGAGAAGAATTTGGCTCCGCGAAGTTGGTCGAGAAGGTCGTCCGCTCGCGGCATGGGGTAACGGGACTTGATGGTGATTCGGTTGAGGGCGCGGTAGTCGATGCACATACGGAATCCGCCGTCTTTCTTCGGGGTGAACAGTATGGGGGCGGCGTATGGCGAGGTACTTGGGCGGATAAAACCTTTCGTCAGTAGGTAATCCAACTGCTGCTGTAATTCTTCCAGTTCCGGTTGACTCAGCCGAAATTGTCGCTGTACTGTCGGTTGTGCGCCTGGTTCCAGTTCGATGCGATGGTCTTCGGGTCGACTTGGTGGGAGTCCCGCGGGTAGATCGTCCGGGAAAATCGCGGGGTATTTTCGAATGAGTTCCGCTAAATCCGGAGGAACGGCTTCACACAGCTTCGTGATATCGTCCGCTGTTATCGGCGACGTTACTTCACGCAGATCGACGGCGTATGCTGCTGCTCCCGCTTTTATCGCGCGCTTGAAAGTGATCGCGTGGACTTGGGTACTTCGCATGTGGGGTCCCGTCCATTTCGGTAATTCGTGATGTTGTCCGTCGATCTTGATGCTGCAGCTGCCCGTCGTCCAGTCGATTCGCGGGTTGTACTGTCGCAGCCAATCCCTTCCCAGCAGCAGGTCGCACCCGTCGAGTGTAGTCGCCAGTAGCCCCATCCGAAATTTTACGTGCTTGCCGCGGTGGAAACTGACGTGCTCCACCCGCTCCCGTATAGCCAGCGGTGTACCATCCACCAATCTTGCGTCGATTTCGGGTAGACACTTTAATAAAGGGATACCCATTTTTTTTGCCCTGTCGAGCTGTATGAGACTGTGACTCGCGCCTCCATCCAC